GAAAACTCACAAGGATCTGGCTCACCCAGCAATGCACAAATTGAAACAAAACTTTGCAAATTGTAAGAGCTGGACTTTAATTCTCCTTGAGAGTTTTCAAGAAGATCTGTCCACTAGGATGAATGTTGCAGTGATAGATTCACGTTTTAAACACCACCTACATTTTCCAATAAGAGATAAGATCTTTGAATTCTTCCTCCTTTCCACATTATCTTGAGAGGCTTTAATGAATAATCGCTGGGGATGCTAATTTTGACCTTATAAAGGGATCCTATGAGATCAAGAAGAATTTCTTCAAAAGTTGAGAATTGAGCTAAGAAGTCTATCTGATGGACTGACGATTGTGGAGACCCACTCATAGAAATTATTGGCCTTTGGACTGGCAAAGCAATTCTCTAGTGGATCTCTGTGAGCTTCTTCTGGATTTGCTTCGCCCCACTGTGCCAAACCACTCATAACCTTTTGGAGTAGATTGTAAATCAGCTGTTTACAAATATTTTTAATTCATTAATTATTTTATTAATATTATTATTGAATTAATAATGAATGAATTAAATAATTATAATTAAATATTACATTAGCTGATTCTGCTAATTTACAATCTTTTATTTCTATCCACTCAAAACCTTTATGATACACATGCTACAATGTGAACAATACTCAGCCAAGGACATTCAACCATTCCCCACTTGGAGCATGTCGGGATCTGAAAGAGAGAAGCTTGAGAAATTTATGCAAAGCCAACCATTGATCTCACTATTCCAGCCTTTGGGATGCCCACAAATTGTTGGCATCAACTAGCAACTCTATACTGCAAGCAAAACTGGTCATAGAAGGGAAAAAGAAGAAGAGCTAGGAGAACTTTACCATGGCTATCTGACTTTAGTGATGTCTGTCAGCTATTCACATACTTCCCAGCCCACATGGTTGGATGATCTGCTCCCCTATGCACAGAAACATGAGCTCTTATATCGCAAGAGATAGCAAGAAAAAAAAAATTAATTACCACTCACACATTGCATAGAAGATAGGATCTTTGCTTTTGTTGAGAGCCTTACTCACTGGGTGGTGGTGTTGCTCCATTTCTGAGATGCAAACATTGTTTGCATACTGAGCATGAGAAGGCTGATTTTTCTTGTGAAAGCAATTTTCATACTTGAGATAGTCAGTTCCCTATACGAGAAGAAATAACTCAATTGACATGTTGAAATGGAACAAAATTAGCATGTTTACTGTACTTGTGTCTTGAAACTCGTGGCTCTTTGAAGCCACTCAATGGCATTTACAAGTCATTCTCCTGGAAAACATCTACAAATGATAAGTTGTTCATTGGAAAAAAGAACTCTCTACCTTCCAGTAAATTTGACCAGATCATTACCTGTACTTTTGAGATCCATATTGAGATCTTTTAGCTTTCCTATCATTACCGCATCCTTGATCTCTGTATGGACAAAAAAATGTTTTCTATTCTACATCTTCTTTGTAAGCTCCTGAGTTTGGACTTCCCGGGAGGTCACCCAGCCCAGTACTATTCACACTCAAGGACGCTTAACCCCAAATATCCCAAGACCCTTAACCGTTTGGAAAAGGGGGTGCACTCTTATTCATGGGCCCTTTCCCTCTATATTTGAACCCCGACGGATCGTCTCTCAAGTCGTTCCCTTTGGTTGCTTACAATCCACCACGCTTCCCTGCAAGTTCACGCCCTCGTGAACAGAAGCTGAGAGCCGCAGCTCTCCCGAGAGCCCCGCTCTCTTGACACCCTACCCCTCGGGTCAATCAACATGTGGTGCGATTCCCTTAGCCAACCAACAGAGTCGGACCCGAGACCCCTCTGATACCAAATGTAAGCTCCTGAGTTTGGACTTCCCGGGAGGTCACCCAGCCCAGTACTATTCACACTCAAGGACGCTTAACCCCAAATATCCCAAGACCCTTAACCGTTTGGAAAAGGGGGTGCACTCTTATTCATGGGCCCTTTCCCTCTATATTTGAACCCCGACGGATCGTCTCTCAAGTCGTTCCCTTTGGTTGCTTACATTCTTCCACAATCGTACAACTGACCTCTTCCAAAATAAGATGTGAAGCTGGCTATATATATAGATATAGCATTATAATTTGGCCCCCCTGGGAGATTTGGCCCCCCGTCGATCACAACATGGTCAGATGCTACCAGCATTTTGGACAAATATTCACAGGTTATACTTCCCACCAAAGGATCAACTACAAGAAGATAAGTTCAGAAAAAACAAAGAGCAAAGTCATAAGGATCTGGCTCACCCATCAATGCACAAATCAAAACAAAACTTTGGAAATTGTAAGAGCTGGACTTTAATTCTCCTTGAGAGTTTTCAAGAATATCTGTCCACTAGGAAGAATGTTGCAGTGATAGATTCACGTTTTAAACACCACCTACATTTTCCAACAAGAGATAAGATCTTTGAATTCTTCCTCCTTTCCACATTATCTTGAGAGGCTTTAATGGATAATCGCTGGGGAGGCTAATGTTGACCTTAGAAAGGGATCCTATGAGATCAAGAAGAATTTCTTCAAAATTGAGAATTGAGCTAAGAAATTCCATACATGCAAGGAAACCCAAAAGAAAAAGAATGGTCAAGATGGCTTGTGAGCCAAGGAAATGGCAATCTCCCTAACCAAGGTTTAACCAAGTTTACATTGCTGAGTTCACACCCCATTGATCAAAGAAGTATATGTATGAATTTGTATATGATAAATGTATCTGTAGTTGATTCCCCAGATAAATCCCTGCAACACGACCCAGTGATCATACAAAGATAGAAGATGGCCAACTGTATATGGCTTTAGAGTTGGTAGCAGCATGCTCAAGGCTGGATGGTTGCTGGTGAATTCTTGCAGACTTTCACCTAGCATGCTAGGTAACTGTAGAGCAGCAAGGAAAGAACATTCAGAAACTTACTTTGTGAGGAGTCAAATAATCCGGAACACCTTCTGCTCGAAGTTCCTCAAGGATCTGAAGAAAGAAACATTTAGACCATGAAAGGATACAAGAGATTCCTTACTGACCCTGCCATCTTGCAAGTTATACATAAAAGATATTGATTAGAATCCTTTCTATAATTTTAAATTTCTATAATAACTTCCTATACAGTGATAATAATTGCAACAATATGGGATATGAGAGACCATCTGCTTATATTACTTTTGTTACCAATAAAAGAAAGGGTATATGCAAAGACAATGTTCCATTGTCATAAAAAGTATTTGTGGATATTGATGATCTCCAAGGTATAACTATCAATCTCTACACTAAAATGACATTATGAATTTCAGACAAACGATTTAAAAAATATACATCATCACTACTGGATGATGAAAACAAACAACTAATTCTTTAGGATTCATGTCACCTATGTAACAGATGTCTTATCTATTCCAGTGGAGCTGGATTCCTTGCTAGTTATCATTTTAGTTATCTTATTCTCACACTTGTTCTCAAGAACTATCTGCAATCATCAAATACACAACTTCATTTTATATAGAAATTCTAGAATTTGCAGTCAATGGCAATAACATGATGAAGTGAAAGAAATGAATACCATTTAGATTATTCAATGAATATTTTTGAATATTGGAACATTATTTATTTTGACCATTATTTGTCATTACATCATGGATTCTAATATCATCCATTTCACTTGTTAACATGAAGCATGGAAGTCATACAAAAAAAGGAAGAACAAAATCAAAATTCATCCAAAGCCTTATCAGTAAGTAAAATTGTGTGATTAAGGAAGCTAAAGATATATTTGATTTTAATAATAATGTCAAAAAAGGAAATTTAAAAAGCTGTCCTCATTGATTTCTTACCCATGGTTTTATTTATTGGCAGGGATTTTTCTTAGTTGGAGGTGGAAATGAAATGTCACCATATGTCTAAGAAATAAATTTAAAATTTACTAGACTTGCCCCTAAAAGTTCAAACCCTTCATTGATTATATATATAGAAAAAAAAAAAAGAGCTATATATAGATCACAATTTTTGGTTTTTTATTTGCTTAAGTAAAACCTGCAAGAGACTGGGATAGTAGTGAATATATCTAGAATATTTTACCATCTAAGATTGTTATTCATTTAGTTTAATATTGTATTTATAATTTATAAAGATGCTTATATTTTATAAACTTTCCTAAACACTTCCTAGTATATTCTTATTTATTCTACCATATAAAGGTTGATATGCAATAAGATCTTGATTTATAAATTATGAACATCCTTATAGTTGTTGATGAATTAGATTATTGAAAAATACTAAATAAGAATAGAATTATTATTAAACAAACCAAATATTGTTATATGCAATATAGTGTTAGGTCCAATTGTACAGCTACAATGCCATATACTAATATTAACGTAGTAGGATTTTGGTAACTATCAAATTGGTTTCAATTTAGACCATATAAACTAGGGTTTTTAAGGTCCTTTCCATATAATTATGTAAAAAGATTTAAAATAATAAATAATAAATAAAAAGATGGACAATTAGATGGAGTTCTACTTAATTAATTAATTAGCGTCTGATGGATGAAGACTACACCCGGGTGAGCCTGAAACAGGCATTCAATAGAAGAAAAAGAATCCAGAATCTAGAAGCCAGTGATAACTTATGCCGAGAAATTCTCGTCATGCAGCAGGATTAGCTTGCTTGCTCTTTCAATGTCGACGACACTGCAGGACTGAGAAATCAACGTGAGAACACCAAGCTTTCTTTACCAGACCCCGTCTGCCAGGCCTGTCCTCTGCGTCAAAAGTCCCTGCGACGAACACGAAGCATTAGATTCTTGGAGAAAAATTTCTGCTGCTAAACCTCTAGAAATACAAACAAAGAAAGATCGGCGAGTGAAATTAAAATACCTCTATCACGTGGAAGTCAAGTCTAAGTCCAAGTCAAAAGTTTCCTGGCAATGGACTGGTAGCTGGCCAGCAACGCACGTTGCAACAGAAAGAAAAAGAGTCTCCCTTCACGCGCGCTTGACAGCATTTCAAAGGATGAGCTCCACCTCCAATGCCTCTGGGAGCGCTGGGAACCAAAGAAACAGCGACCCAGAGAACCCACTGTTGCTTCCATCCAGGAAAGGATTTAGCGCTCGCGATGAGATTGCGAGAGTGTTCTTCAGAGGTGGATCCTCGTTTGATGCGTGGCTTACTGCTTGCACAGCACAGGTAAATGCTCTGAAGATCTCTCGACCTTTTTCAGGTCAAACTTTCAGGTCGCCCAAGTTCTCCTCACGCTCCCTTACTCTTTTGCTCAAATGGGAATGGTGCCGGGTATACTGTTCCAGCTCGTGTATGGGCTTCTCGGGTGCTGGAGCTGTTATATGACCACCAGCCTGTACGCCGACTATGTTAGAATTCTCGACAGGCAAAACTCTCGCCGAGATGACCACATTATCCAGGTGTGGTAGTGTATGAAGAGACACTAACCTCTCGAGACACTGGCTTTCAGTGGTATGAAGTTTTGGGAGGCCTCCTGGGAAAAGGATGGAAAATGGCCGGCTTGGCATCTAACTGCATCCTTCTTCTTTGTACTGCAACGATCCAGCTTATAGCTTGCGGAAGGTATGGAAAATCTGAAAGGTGAAAGTGTTGACAATGGTTAGAATGGTCGCAGCACCGTTTGGTATATCAATGATAGTTTTGAGAAAAGAACATGGACATACATCTTTGGAGCCGGCTGCTTCCTCACGGTTTTTGTTCCAACAGCTCGCAATTACCGGCTGTGGGCGTTTGTAGGAATCTTCATGACGACTTACACAGCTTGGTTTATGACAATCTCTGCTGTAATTCATGGCAAAGTAAGCGTCCAATCTTCTTCTTCTTCCCTCCCTTCTAGTGTAATCGATCTACAGGTAGAAAACGTCGAGCATTCTGGTGCAAAAAGCTCGGTCCAATACTTCACAGGAGGCACAAACATTCTCTACGCATTTGGAGGTCACGCAGTCACGCTGTAAGCCAAATAAAAAAGAAGAGAGAAAATCTTCTTTTTGTCCCCCAGCCAAATCCTCTAAAACGGGCAGTTATTGAGTTAACAGAGAGATCATGGATGCAATGCACAAGCCAAGAAGCTTCAAGATTGTCTACCTCTGTGCCGTGCTCTACATTTTTACCCTCACAATACCTTCGGCGGCGAGCGTCTACTGGCGCTTTGGCGACGCAATGCTCCACAATCCAAACGCACTGGCCGTCTTCCCCCGCACGAGATTCAGGGACGCCGCCGTCGTCCTCATGCTCGCGCACCAGGTAACGAGCTCTCAAGAACCCTAAAACAACATCTTTAAGGATTTTGAAAATTCCCGCCAGTTTATCGAGTTTGGGGTTCTTGCGTTGCCCATCTTCGTGATGTGGGAGAAGCTCCTGGGCGTCCATCACTCCAAGAAGCACTACATTGTCAAATCCCTGTCGAGAATTCCAATCGTGCTCGTCATATGGTTCATCGCGATCATGATCCCATTCTTCGGGCCGATCAACTCTGTCGTGGGCGCGCTGCTCGCAAGCGTTGCCGTCTACATCCTTCCTTGCGTCGCGTTCATGTATGCAAGGCAAGCCCCCGAATCACGAAAGGTAAAGAAATCTCTCAGCGAATGGATCTCCAATTCGATAGAGTTTTACCTTCTTCCAGGGCGCCTTGGAGCAGCCACCCTGCTGGCTCTTGAGGAGCTGGGTGCCCATGTACTGCATCAACCTTGGATCGGTGCTGTGGGTCGCGATCGTGGGCGTGGGATTTGGGGGATGGGCGAGCGTCAGCAATCTAATGGAGAAGATCAGCAGCTTTGGATTCTTCGCAAGGTGCTATCAATGCAATAGCACAAGGCACTGAATCCGATGATCAAATGCTCTGGGTCTCCAAGCGGCGACCGCAGCGATATCTTCTAACATGTCGGCGATTCTCTCTCGCATCTTGTGCTGCTGTTCTTCCCGAACAGGAATCATGTCGCAGCTACAGCGCCTGCGTCTCCCGATTGCAGCAATGTATCAGATCCCAGGCGCTCCGCGATGGCCAAAGGATTCACGATTGGATACTGGGCTCTTCGCTGCGCGGCGACCCCTTTCTGGGCAACCTGGTGATCCAGATGTATGCCACCTGCGGCAATGTGGCCGGATCGTGGTGGGTGTTTGGAGAGGGCATCCATCGCCGCAATGTTTTCTCGTGGAACACAATGATGGGAGCGTTTCTTTCGAGCTACCAGGTGGACGAAGCAATGATCCTGTTCAAGAAAATGCCCCAGAGGGATGTTGTCTCCTGGAACACCATACTTGCAGCAAATGCCCAACTAGGCGATTTGGACTTCTTACAAACGATCTTTGGCCAAATGCCACAGAGAGGTGTGATTTCATGGAATACAATGATAACATCCTTTGCGCAATCAAAAGATACGTCCCGCGCCATCGAAGCTTTTGCGAAAATGCCAAAGCATACTGTCGTAAGCTGGACCGCGGCGCTGACTGCATTTGCCGAGAATGGGCATTTTGATAACGCTTGTGTTCTCTTCGATTATATGCCCGAGCGAAACGACGTCTCTTGGAGCGCAATGGCGGCCGCCTACGCCGAACACCTCCTCCCGGATCGCGCCATCGAAGTTGTCTCCGCACGGATGCCGCAGTGGAGCATCACCTCCCTGAGCTCGCTCATCCAGGCGCTCCTTCAATCCCACCGCCCGGATCAGGCATGGATCGTCTTCGCTCAGATGAACGAGCGCAACGAGTTTGCCTGGAACATCATGCTCCAGGGTCTGCTCTTTCACGATTTCCCCGCCGGGGAGCTTGTTCTCGATAAAATGCCCTGCTGGGACGTTATCGCTTGCAATACCTCCATTGTAGCATATGCCCAAAACAGACATATTGCGAAATCTCGCGCTATTTTCTTTGCGATGCCGCACTGTTCGGTGGCTTCTTGGAACGCCATTCTTGACGCATTTGTGCAGATAAACTCGGTGGAAGAAGCTAGTCGGATATTCTGTCTGATGCCTTGCCAAGACGCAGTGTCGTGGACGGCAATCCTGGCAGTGTATGCTCAGAATGGGCATGTCACCAAAGCACAGGGTCTGTTTCAGAGAATGCCGGCGGGAAGGAGCATATTTGCGTGGAATTCACTGCTCCACGCGTGGAGCCAGGCTAAATTTCCTCACACGGTGGCCGCCATCTTCCATCGCATGCCCGGGCAGGACTTGGTTTCCTGGAACACTCTTCTCGCAGCCTATGTTCGCAGCGGTTTTGCAAGAGAATCGCTGCAAATCCTGTGCCGCATGGATCTGGAAGCCGTGGGGATAGACGAGATCACTTTCATCAGCGTCTTGGATTCCATCTCTGCGGCCTCCACAAACTGTGATAGCAGGTTCCTCCTCGATGAGTTTCTGGGCAATCCAGAAGCTTACAGTCTCGTCCAAAGTTCTTGCGTGGTGGCAAACGCGCTTGTCGCCGCCTGTGCGAAGTCTGGCTATCTCGCCGATGCCTGGACAGTCTTTTGCAACCAGTCACCGGGACATCACTTGCTGGAGCTCCATGCTCTCGGCCTATGCGTTAAACGGCCACGAGCTCCAATCCTTGAAGCTTTTCCAATGCATGCTACTGTCGGGCCTGGTTCCCGACGAGACCATCGTCGCGATTCTGCTCTCCGCTTGCTCGCACGCCGGCCTCTTCGAATCTGGAGTGGAGTTCTTCCGCTCCGTGAGCCAGGACTTTAGCGAAGTGGAAGCCAACTTGGATCACTACTCTTGCTTGATCGATCTCCTGGCGAGAGCTGGGATGCTCGAGGAGGCCGCGAGTGTGATCCAGGAGATGCAATTCGAGGCCAGCTTGCTCATTTGGACGTCAATCATGGCCGGCTGCATTGTTCATGGGGACGTGACTAGAGCATTGCTGGCTGCCGAGGAGATCGCTAGAACGCATCCAGATAGTGTCGTTGGACCGAACTTTGAGAAATCGCTTGACAAGTGCCTTTTTGTTTGACATAGCACATTGAATCACGTGAAAGGGCATTTGGTCTAGTGGTATGATTCTCGCTTAGGGTGCGAGAGGTCCCGAGTTCAATTCTCGGAATGCCCCAGAGGGGTGGTTTTTTCGATTTTATTTTACGGACTTTTCGTCTCGTTTCAACACACTTCGTGCTGCGCATGCAACAAAACACCTCATGATCAATAGCATCAAAATATGGACAAGTGGTGGTCACGCCACACTAAAAATGCCCGTGGTCCATTCATGCGAATATTATCCCTGAACACAAGGAAAATTCGATCCCTAGCGATACTGCACGAGGCAAAAATGGCCCCTCTGTCAAAATCATACACCGCATGTTCTTTGATAAATAACCGGTCGTGATTTTTGATAACGATGATGTTTAAACTATAGTAAGATTTGAAGGCAAAGATATATCGAGATTAAATTTTCAAAGAACGTGAAACCTATGCTGACCGACAAGGTGCCTGTTTGGGGATTGATTGGTTTGACCGCAGGTGAAAAGCACACGCGCAGTCTAGCCCTTAACTTTTTACATGGGTAGGTAAAAATTTACAGCTGGCCTGAAATCGACGGACGCCGGACTGACAGCTGGCGGCTTCTTTGGCCGAGCGATCCTCCCCAATCGACGGCAGGCATGTTTAAAGCGGTGGAGAGTTCTCGAGCAATGCCCGTGCTCTCGATCGACCGGATTCTCTAGTATGCAAGCGCTAGGTTTTCCTGGGCCTCTAGGCTCTTGAGAGGAAATCCGGTGGCGGCAGTGGAAATTTCCAGGGACATGGTGCATTCCTCGTCCTGGGGAGGGTTCACGATGCGTGTTCTTCGTCTGGGCGCTCAATCTCCCCGTGAATGCCAGGTTTGTTGCCCAGAAATCTTTTCTTTCGCGATCTGAATCTTTCTTGATCTTGGATCGCTCGCGCAGGCTCGATATTTCCGTCAGCTGCTCAAGCCGGTTACGTAAATCGCTCGCACGGGGCGCAAGAAGATTAAATCATCGTGTTCCCGGCACCTAGGGTTGGATTGAGCGCGAGTATGGAGAGTGTTGAGCTGGATTTGTCACAGGCCGAGCTTGAGAACGTCTTACATTTCTCTGGAGCGATCGGCAAAGAGGAGGTGGAATTCCAAATTGCCGATCGTGTGAAGAGGCCGCCGCGGGCGAAGTATGTTCTCTTCGATCAGTGTGGAAGCGAGAAAGTGGTGGTGGTGCATTCGGATGGAGTGTCTCCTCGCCCGTACGAAGTTCTCCCGGACCCCCTTGTTCACGATCACAACACCACAGGATCTCAGACTCTCCAGGCGCTGCTAAGTTCGGCTGGCCTGCAAGACCAAACGTGCGATCTCCAAGTCTACAAGAACGCCATGGCAGCAGCGCTGCTGGAGTTCGAGAGCTCTCACTCTGGGGAGGAGAGGCTTGAGCTCTTTGATTCGATGGAGCAGCCGCTTCAAGCAAACTCGGGCAGCTGGCAGGAGAACACGGACGATCTCGACGCGCTCATGGAGTCGGACGAGGAAGAAGTGTCCGAGCTCAACAGTGCGAGCGTTACCAGTGACTTGACACGAGAAGATCACAGTGGTGGAGTGGAGCTCAGTGGCTACTTATCCTCCGAGGGGGAGACCGACGGCAAAGGAAGATCATCCCGACGATCCCGAGACTGCCGCTTGTCAGTGCGCTCCACCAGAAGCAGCAAAAAGTCGAGGAGGCAGACGATCAAGTACAAGATCCAGGTCTTGAGAAACATCATACCGGGGGGAGCGGGAATGGAGGCGGCAAGCGTTTTGGAGGAAACCATCCGCTATATCACAAGCTTGGAATCTATGGTCAGATCAACCAGGTGGGCAGTGCTTGCTTGCGTGATCTCTCGCGTTTGTATTGATTGCTTCCAGATTTTTTGCAGTTCAAAGCCATGAAAAGCGAACAGCCAAGGCCGTGCTGTAACTAGTGTTCTTTTGTTTCGGGATAGGAATATTAAATCGCTTGGCTTTCTTTCTTTTGTGGCGAGATCCTTGTCTCTGTCCTTCGACTTGACACCACCTTCCGAAAGAAAGAAAAACCGATCGTGTCAAATTAGGGTATAACGATTGGTTAGTGTCTAAGCCGGCCTAGCTCAGTTGGTAGAGCGCAAGGCTCTTAACCTTGTGGTCGTGGGTTCGAGCCCCACGGCCGGCGGAGTTTTTAATCTAGGCTTTAACCTTTTGGTCCAAAAGGTGAAAGAGATATTCGCATTTGACACCTTTTTTAGGGGACAACAGGTTCATAGTCAAAAGGGGGAGGTGGACGGCAAAAGGAGTTTGTGCGCTCCTCTTATTTAGGGCGGACAAAGGTTTGGATTCATGGCACTGGCAGGCATGCAATCCAGCTCCTGGATGCTTGCTGGCGATCCCAGCACTGGATCGTGCTATGCGACTCCCTCGTCTCTCAAGCTGTGGGGATGCGTCAACAGATCGAGGAATTTTGTTAGGATCAGGGGCTCTAGCAGCTCGGTGACGAGTGTTTTGAGCGCGGAGAGGGTGGATCTTCGCGACGAGGATGAGATTGAGGCCGATTTTGGTAGAAAGTTTAGGCTTCCACACATCAGCGACGTTTTTCCCGATCTAGAGCCGCTGCCAACGACGTTTAGTGTCAAGAGCAGGTAAAGGTTTTTCTTCCCTTTTGCCTCTTCACTTAGCTTTTTCTTTCGTCACGTTTATCTTGACAGCCTCCCTTGGCTTTTGCAGCTATCCTTTGCCGGATTATCATTTCGACGATGAATCCAAGGACTTGAAGAAGATGTATGTCCACAATGACGATCGTGTACTTCTAAAGGTGAGAGCTTGTGTTTCGGATGAAGCTAGTTCTTATATTTGTTTTCTTTTCAGGTTATAGAATATGTCTCACCCACGTCTGCGGGAGCTGACTGTGAGGGTGAGGATTGCAAATTCAGGCATCTAAGGTGAGTATTATAAGCAATTTTCTCGGTTGGATCTTCCTGATTCTATTTTTTTTTTAATTACTCTAGAGTGTGGAGAGCCGGTCCACGCAAAAAAATATATATCAGACCCGAGGAAGTCAAAGCTGCGATTGTAACATGCGGGGGACTTTGTCCCGGTCTTAACGATGTTATTCGTCAGGTACGTAAACTAATGCATGCTCGTTAATTTTTCATGAGCTAATGTTTTTTGCGCAGATTGTTTTCACTCTCGATAAGTATGGAGTGAAGAATATTGTCGGCATACCGTATGGCTACCGGGGATTTTTTGACGATAGTCTGTCAGATATCAATTTGACGACACACTATGTGCAAAATATTCACCTCTCGGGAGGCAGCTTGTTGGGAGTCTCTCGTGGAGGCGGACAAACAAGCGACATTGTCGACAGCTTGGAGGTATGAAATCAAAATCAGTGTGAAGGTTGAGTTGGCTAATTTGTGTTGGTTTTAGAAACGCGGGATCAACATGCTCTTCGTGCTCGGTGGCAATGGCACGCACGCTGGAGCTAATGCCATCCATGACGAGTGCTGGCGCAGGAAGATGAAAGTTATGGTTGTCTGCGTCCCGAAAACGATAGACAACGACATCTTGCTCATGGACAAAACTTTTGGTTTTGACACTGCTGTCGAAGCTGCTCAGAGAGCAATCAGTGCTGCGTACATTGAGGTAGGCCTTCTTTCCATTCTTTGTTTGCGTTATTTGTTTTCCTTCCTTCCTTTATGACTGGTCATCTAAAACTTTTCAGGCAAGGAGCGCTTACCATGGAATCGGTGTTGTGAAACTGATGGGGCGCCAGAGTGGCTTCATAGCACAGTATGCCAGCTTAGCCAGTGGTCACGTAAATGCGTGTCTCATTCCGGAGGTAACGATACCTTTCTTTGCTTCTTTTCTCGTATGCTCAACTGTTGTAATCGTGCAGGTCCCTTTTACCTTGCATGGACCAAATGGACTGCTTGTCTATCTGGAGCATTTGATCCACACTCAAGGCTCTGCGGTGGTCTGTATTGCCGAAGGAGCTGGCCAGGTAAAAGTCTTCAGTTTTTTGCTCCTAGATTTTGGCTAATCTTTTCGAGTAGGAGCTTCTGCCGCCCAAGGGCTCAAAAGACGCGTCTGGCAATCCTGTCCTATCGGACACCGGGGTCTACCTCCAACAACAGGTAATTCACATTCATGTCTGGAACTAGAAAGGATCTAAGCATTCACTCTACAGATCAAAAACCATTTCATTGCCGCTGGAACTCCCGCAGATGTCAAGTACATTGATCCCACTTATATGATCCGAGCGTGCCAGGCAAACTCCTCCGACAGTATACTGTGCACCGTTCTTGGCCAGAATGCGGTATGCTTGCATAGCTCTTTCATCTTTTTTCCCGAGACTTCTAACCTTGGATCCTCACAGGTTCATGGAGCGTTCGCGGGATTTAGTGGAATCACGGTGGGGCTTTGCAACACTCACTACGCTTACTTCCCAATCCCGCAAGTCATTGATCATCCACGAAGGGTTGATCCGAGCAGCAGGATGTGGCACCGTTGTATCACATCAACAGGGCAACCGGATTTTACTCCGCGAGCATAGAAAATCTACAATCTTGGAAGGGACAGTATATTCTTAGACTATTATTTATTCTTGTAATAAAACTGGCCAAATTTAGGTCTTAAGGAATTTTAAGTTACCATTTTTAGGGTTTGCGTAAGCTCTTGCTACATGATCCCCATCCTCGCTTGAGGCTTTCAACTTGTTTTATGGTAGACTCTGAGTTTATGAACTCGTCATTGCTTGCATCATAACATATCCCTCGTTGCTTTCTTCAGCGTGACTTTTCCCTATTAAGCCAGACGAGGGGAAGGGTTTTCTCAAAACTTGCATGCGCCCCAAGTCGTAGAGACACTGCGGCCAGGAAAGAAGAGCTGGAGGGTGCTCCTCAAGCAAAGTGGAGGCAAGTCCACGCACGCTCAAGAGAGTGGTGAAGATCCGGCAGACAGGCCCAGCAAGCCCGATGGTTTTCACTCCCGTGTTGTATATCAACTAGGCTTTGCGCCAGCTTTTGGGTGATACATGGAATCGTTTCCTGCCGTCAAGCCTGTGATGATCCTGGTTCGTTTTGCAGTTCTCTTGGAAGCTTGACCAGTTTACAGTGGGGGCAAAGACGAGGCCAGGGACTACCTCGCCAAGCTCATTGCTCCTGTGGGTGTGTACTTGGGCACACCTGCCTTGGACGATGCTGTGTGGGAAGACATACATGATGCATGCCGCGGGAGTTTTGTCTGTCTCGAGCATTTGGCAGACATGGCAGTGCTGATGATGTCTTGACTTGACCAAGTTCATGCCCAGAATTCTGACGCAATTCATAGCGTCGTGATGCAGAGGCTGGATAAAGGATCGGGCTTGACATACCAGCAATGGTGTCTGGCTATGACGACCATCCTAGACCACGATGGCTGCGTGTCCGTTTGGACCTTGTATGAGGCCCTGGCCAAGCATCTTGCGGGATCAGCAGCAAATTCACCAGCCAGCGATAACACGACGAGCAGCTCGTCTACGAGCCCTGCATGGATGGTGAGAATAAGGCAATGTGCATCGAAGCGAGCCAAATTTCAGTTGCAGCGGATGGACAGAGAATATGGGGAAGAGAATGTCCGAAAAGCTGTTGCGATTGCCCGTGAGTTGATATATGACAACATGATCCATTTGCGATATATTGGATTTGAGAATACGTACAAGGACATAACACATTATGGGTATGTGGGTGAATATGCACCCTTCATTCACTTTGGGCTGAGGGAACTATTGCGCAATTGACATTGAAAGAGCGTACTTTAGTCGAGCTTAAGCTTTGCTTTGGACACCCGAAGATCCTCATGCAGTCTTGGTTGGGGAAAATCTTTTTGCGTTCTCCTCAGAACTATTTCTCAATGCAAAGCTGTCACCTTTCAATCAACAACTTCTACCAAGCTTTGGATGTTCTGGACTTCGATGTTCCACTATATGGCTCCAATACTATTATGTTGATCGCCTATCCATTTGAGAATCGTACGATCATTGTCTGAGTCATTCTACTCCATTGATCGTACGAGTCATTCTACTCCATTGTTAAGTGAGAATAAAAAGGGGCCACCACAGCTTGAGCTGGGTGAAGATGCTGTGAAGATGGATAGTGGCGGAGACAAGCGGCTCAAATTGAGCGCTTTGTTTTTACCTGGATTCAGTTGATTCTGCAGATTTCCCCATTGACTTTCGAAGACGTGGAAGAGATTGAGGTTGAGCTACGATAGCTGCTTTGACTTTGCGACAAGGCATTGATGGCACAAGGCTACGTTTTCATGATCCGGGACTACAGGAATTTGCTCTCAACTCCACCAGATTCGTGCAACAGAAGCTCACCTTGGAGCCTGGAACTCGTCTCGGGTGCACACAGACTTGGAAGCAGGACTATGTATGAATTTTGGACAATAGGGATGTGCATACTCGCTTGCATTCCGGATGAAGAATGGCATCTACAAGGTGGATGTCGATAGGCGGTACACCACCGATGGAGGCTTCCCGCGGCTGCTGTTTAACAATCCAGAGTGCTTCCAGCTCTCAGAAGCCATCCAGACGTTCACGTTCACTTAGTTTCTGAACCACAATTTCTCTATCCAACCTAGGATGGCACTTAGGATTACGTCAGTTATAAGTATGACTACAACTCCAAACACTGAAGTTGCCAAAAGCACGCTGTCTAAAGACCACGGTCCAGAAGAAGTTGCAGAAGTCCACTTTGATGAGTTTACACTTTACTGAGTTTACAAGTAATGCATTATAGAGAAGCAGAATGGGAAGTGCATGAGTGCTTTTTAAATGCAAGACCTTCTTTTGTAAGGTTTTTGGTGAATGTGTTATGTGACAGCATACAATTCTAAAGCTCCTAATCTGGTGAGGGAGTGTATTACTTGAGGGAGCCTGACAACAGGGCTGCTTGGGATGCATTTTCCAAGTCACTAGTTATAAATGGACTGTAAGATTATTATGAAGGAGGCAGTAT